AGTGCAATATTAGTTATGTGTATCCGATGTATAAAAAGTATCTGTACTTCATTAATATTGTACCATTGTCTGATTAGCTGGATGCTAGGCTTACAAATGTAGGTGGTTCTAATGATTGTTGTAAGTTCAGTGTAGTGGAGAAGGAAATAAAACGTTTAATTTTCCTCGCTGTTTCACTTTGTGTATTGTTGTGCAAATGGGTTTTAATGGCTATGAGAACTGAGTATAGTCAGCTCTATTATTATCAGTCCACCGTCTGTTATACCATTCCAACTTACACTGTATACTTAATGCTCCAGTATTTTTGATCATCAGTGGTGGAGATGAATTTCTCCTGAAATTTCTATTTACATGAAGCAGTGTAGATGCAGCATCGCGATTGAATGTCTAGGTTGGCATTGTTATCCTCATCAATACAATACGTATGTGTATCTTGTAATATTTTAAGTGTTTCTCAATGATGTTAAAACTATACATAGCTGTGGAGGGTTTGGACCTATGTACCTCATATTTAACTGCTCTTGTTTACTAAAGCTGCAAATGTTATTTCTGTAGGATTCGCAAAACCACATTCACTAGACATTACCGAGATTGTGGACTAATTTCTAAAGCAAACGTGATTACTGTAAAGTTGACCTGCAAGTGATCTTGATGATCGTTTCATAGATTGTCTTGAAATTTTCGTATAATCCCCTAATACTGGAAAACATAGGAGGTCTATTGATGCTTACGATGTCCCTATAAAAGCTAGCTGTGGACTACAAATACACTTATTTGCATCAAATATTACTTAGTATTAACAGAATCAGTGTGTTTGTAGTATATACTTTTATGTAGAATTATCTTTCATAACTTCACGTTGTGATTCATTTTTTAGGTATATGGAAGCTGTCGAATATGAAGTCGGTGAAAATACAAGTCGGTCAGACAAACGCTAATACCCCTCACCAGAATTTTTTTCGTAAATTAATGAAATGTTTAATATACTCTCGATTTCTACTTCTTTTGGACTTCTTCAGTGCTGCGCTATACCATCGGCTATTGTAATATGTGAATTCGGATTAATGCATGTGATGGGATGGATGCTTACCATGGCATTATGAGACTATTGCTTTAGCCATTCATAAGATTTCGCGTCCGTTTCTATACATTAGCACATTGTAAAAACTGAGTAGGATTTAGCAAGTTGAATAATAATTCTATACTTTTCGACAAGCTAAATTCACCTTGTCTAGCCAGTTGCAAGTCTGTATACTGCTAAACGCCAAGTCTGTAGCACGAAAAAATGAAGAAACTTGGGTTTGATAGCTACTGTATTAATCTGTTAATATGCAGTGACATCATGTAATTGACTATTTACTTGACAATGAGCTAAGAAACAATTTTTATTTATTTCCAGTATGCTGATGAATCATATAATACCATCTAATATTCATCATTTTTATGATCAAAGACTGCAATATTTTCATATCTACTTTATGGATATTTAATTACTTACGTTTTTATGCATCTAACTGCAGCCAATCGACTTTAATGATGCCACTTCGTCCTGCTTTGATTGTGATATGGGCGTGTTTCACAGAACTAATCACAGCGTATCGGCCTTAAACGTATACTGCATACAGGCATAATGTTTATGAGCTAGGTATGCAAATCATATAAACGCTTGTACTGTATATCCACTATTTATAAGACTAAGTAGTATATAAGAGCTACGGTTTGACCAGTTATGCAACTTTTAATATGTTTAGACGCAGATAACGTACTCTGGTTAGTTCCATGAAGCATTACCTAAAGCTACCTACGCAGCCACCTTAAAAGTTTCCTCTGAAGGTTATCTGCTGTAGCTACTGACTCAGTGGGTAACCTCACGTTATCTTTGAATTACAAAGTAAAAATGGATCGCCTCCTGGCCAGGAAGAGTAAACATATCCTAATCTCTACGAAAGCTTTTACAGTTATTTATCCTACCACCTCAAATAACTCACAATTTGCAGTCAGCTAAAAAGTAAGGATAAATTTGCCTAAGATAGTGTTTTTATAATATCTAGATGCTGTAATGTACCATGATGAAAAAAACGTATGCATATGGTTATAACAGTTAGATAAGCGAGATTAATCCGAAGTATAGCGTCTACTGAACTCAGTTACAGAACACACAACTTTGCTACCTATTCGTCTAATCGTGTCAACAAATGTTTCACCAAGAAAAAGAAGACCACGGATACAAGAAAAATTTAAATTTTTCTCAAAAATCATGGACATCGGTATTTATTGCCACGGAGGAATTACTAACATCAGAAAAGTAAAAATTTGACTTTGGTTTTTGTAGGGATTTTGTTTGATTGCATGGAGGATTTAATCATGAGCTGACATCAGTTGGAGAACCACTAGAAAACCTGGGAGTACTGGACAGCCGTTTCGTCCTAGTTTGGGACTCCTCAGCAGTACGCACCCACCGGGATTCGAACCCAGGACCTTCTGGTTACAAGGCTAGCGCGCTCGTGGACCATTGAGCCACTGGGACCCGATCCAATGGTCCTTGAATTCTAACTTCTGCCAGTTCACGACATAGCGCGACCACTTCGCAATGTCTTCTTCGATGAGTTACTGCCTCATCTTCGACCTGCTGTACCCTACTGGTCACGGCTTCCCACTAGAACCCCAGGTTAACTGCCTGAGTAGGGCCAGTCACTAGTGAGCATCAGATGAATTTTCAAGTATTGGTTTTTGTAGGGATTTTGTTTGATTGCATGGAGGATTTAATCATGAGCTGACATCAGTTAGAGAACCACTGGAAAACCTGGGAGTACCGGACAGCCGTTTCGTCCTAGTTTGGGACTCCTCAGCAGTACGCACCCACAGGCTCATGATTAAATCCTCCATGCAATCAAACAAAATCCCTACAAAAACCAATACTTGAAAATTCATCTGATGCTCACTAGTGACTGGCCCTACTCAGGCAGTTAACCTGGGGTTCTAGTGGGAAGCCGTGACCAGTAGGGTACAGCAGGTCGAAGATGAGGCAGTAACTCATCGAAGAAGACATTGCGAAGTGGTCGCGCTATGTCGTGAACTGGCAGAAGTTAGAATTCAAGGACCATTGGATCGGGTCCCAGTGGCTCAATGGTCCACGAGCGCGCTAGCCTTGTAACCAGAAGGTCCTGGGTTCGAATCCCGGTGGGTGCGTACTGCTGAGGAGTCCCAAACTAGGACGAAACGGCTGTCCAGTACTCCCAGGTTTTCTAGTGGTTCTCCAACTGATGTCAGCTCATGATTAAATCCTCCATGCAAAAATTTGATTATTTGAACTGAAACAATCAAATCGGATTCAACCAATTTTTTCACCCCGAATAACAATCAGCTTCTCAGCTTGTTGTTACTTCGAAAAAACCGCTGACTGTAGAACACAATTCGAATCCTTACGCTTGATAGTTAAAGTCTTAACGTTATTTAGAAAAATTCATGCACTCACCAGATCATCGTATGTTATCTCCTTTTTAAATTGTTTCGCAACATATTGAATGCCTGTTAACCCTGACTTTACTACGGGCAGTCCTAGTTCATGTATTTGGATCTAGTTCATTAAGTATTAAAAACATAGGTAACACTTACCATTTAAGGGTTTCTGATTGCTCTCCGGTTTCTTATGGTCCCGAAAAATACATACAAGCTCAAAAATTCACACTTCTCATGTGTCTCAACCTTGCGTAATCTAAATTCTCACACAATATATCCAGCGTTTGTTAACGGATAATAGAAACCCTGATAGCATACTCACCTCGAAAAGCTTCAAAACTTTTCCAACTTTAACTCAGGTTCTAAATTCTGCAGGTTTATTATGTTCTTCGAAAACCTTGCTAATATCAACTCTGATCATGCCTTCATTGGCAGATTGCTCGTAGATTGTCGCATGTTATAAACATGAACGTGAAAGTTGTTTTTTTTCAAGGATTCCTACATGGTAAGTAACCAGCTGAGCCAGCGACAATAACGGTGGCCAATAAATGAACTGGACACAACAGCATCTGCCACCTGAACATGTTCATGTGCATAATTTCCAAAACTTCTAAGCAGTGCTATTTAATAAACGGCTGAAAACAACTAAAACACTGTAACTACGCATGAGTTCGGCGTTTGAAACAATTACAATGAAATGAATGAACTGACCTGGTGGTAAAAACTTTGGAATCAACCGAAACAACTAATTTTAACGGAAACGGAAACAAAAATGAGGTGAGACGCGGCATCTGTGAACGGTGTTCATCAGGATAAGTCGTGAATAACCGCAGGAAAAACTTAAAAGCCGACTTGTAAACGAACGGTTAGGGAATAGCAATCCCACGTGGCCAACTAACACGGACGGAAATGACCTTCAGGTGTCTAACTCTTACAATTACCTTGGGTGTGTGCGATAATTTAATCCTTCAGAGACCACCTCAGTAACTCACATTACGTGTTAGCAGCAACTTTCACGCAAAGGAAAACCTACCAATCCCAATTCGCGCAAGTGGCCTTCATGTGCCAGCCCTTTCCGTAGGCCATGTATGCCTGATCCTCTGTCTGAAATTTGTTTCTTACTTTGGACGGTTAAAGTGTTGTTCTTACTAGGCCCACATTTTCAGGTCAAATAATTCAGATGGGCTGAAAAAGAGCATAACTGTAATGTAGTTTTATATTGTCCTACAATTCTAATGTCCAAGCACTTGATTCGAGGCGATGGAATTTCGGCAAGGCGCCCCAGCTACCATTAACTTCAGGCGCACTGCAAGTTGTTTGGAGGCAGACTTCGTGTGCATTGCAGAATCTTTGAGGCGGACTTCAGATCACTGTCCCACGTTCCGCAATGCGTCCGAAGATTCTACAGTGCTCTGGAAGAAAAGACTAGCTGCGTTAGTATATAGTCAGTACATTGAGCTTTGAGTGATTGTTTTAGTTGTCTTGAACCGATCTAATCGTAATAAACACCTTTCTCACAAGCCATTAGTTCTATTTAATCTTTTATATACCAATATGTCATATCACACATAGTTTTTAGTTGAAAAACTAGTGGTCACGTGCATTTTTGAAATTTACGTTACTTGTGTTTTTGGCAAGTATAAAAGAGGCTACAGTCGGTTTCTAGGTCATGATGAGTTCCTGCTTCGGCTAGTTATATGTTTTCGTGAATTTGTATTCCATTGAATTTTAAAGGTTTTTCTGGATGTTTTGCTCATTTTACAGTGTCTAGGTCAGTTTTTGTCACTGGATGCTACTATTTAGCTTATTTTTAGCCTGAAGTTCTCAGTTATTATGTTGGTAGTCAAGGGATATGGTAAACCTGCAATCATGATTGCGCACAGTTTCACTGTCAAATTTGACAGTGAAACTGTGCGCTGATTTTTCAGCATGAGTGGCACTAAGTCGAACCTACTGGGTTTGCTTATTAACGTTGTTCCAGCCCTCACAGGACGTACTAAGCATGGATTAGCGTTGCTCCAGAGCGGAAAGTTTTGATTCAGCACGCAGCTGTCTTTTTAAGCACGATCTGTGTCATTTCAGAACATAGTGGGTAAATATGATCTTCAGTTACCATAAAAAGGCATTATCGAGGAATAGGCCAGAATAAATTTAGAATTGTTTTAAGCTTGGTAGTGCTGCGGTCTAAGTGATAAACCGTATTAAGCACCGTAATCCAGGATATGCTATGAACCTGAAATCCTCAGCTGAAAAACGTATGAATAAGACACAGATCGGTGTAATTTATAACTGACTCCAAATTACTTTCATCAAGAAACAGTCAACCAAAGTATGCTTTAAATTGTCGCTCTCAGCCGTTTGAAGGGAAATTTACTTGATTTATGCTGACCTAGTATGCACAGATCCCACAGGTCATTGGATTGACAACTTAAAAAAGTAGATTATTTAACACATACATTTATCTATATGTACTAATTAAGGACATTAAGTTTTTAGAAATTGTAGTCAAATTTTATTCGCCTAGTAATCAAAAATGCATACATCCTATTTTGGACTTAAAATAAATGCATCGGAATTATTGTTGATTTATATTCACCTACTAGACGTTCTCATACATCTTAATGCACTTTAAACACCACCAATGCATCCAAATAGCGTGTGACTATCACACTACACTCATACCAAAAAAATTAACACGCCATTATATTATGGTAAGGTAAGCCCTACATCACACTGACTGTAAATTTCCGTGTCAAAATAAAAAGATTACCGCTTTAACTTATATTTTAGACCAATAGGAAGCCAGCTAGCCGACAGCCAATCAAAATCTGCCTATATCTATTTTCGGCAAGTATTTGGATTCTGTGACAGCTGGTAATTTTAATCAGAGTGGTGATTTAAAGGCTTAAGAAATTAATGCTTGCACATCAATTATTGATTGGTGAAATAGTTACCAAATGTCATAAACAGTAGCCCAAACGCTTAGATTGGTCTCCCAAATGAGAATTTTTGGAACAGCTCTTATACGCATTGTGGAATGAACTGTTATTTTAATATATTTCAGAAAAAATATTGTAGTTAACTGCTTCAACACTGCTTGACAGTTTTCGTACAGGTGACATCTTAAGCGATATTGGATATCGATATTGGAAGCGTGTACGATGAGATAATTCCGTGGAGATATATATCCAACATATTGGGAAATTTAATGTATTTCCCTTAAATTTCTACCTTGATTTGCTTACGATCTGCTTTCAGTTTTTCATTTGGGCAAGTAAAAGGTTTGTTTGGTCTCCTGGGGGAAATCTAGATTTTTACATAGCTATGTAAAAATTTGAAGGAAAAGCACCATTTTCTCCCTAAACCACTCAGTAGCTTGAAATTCGACTCTGAATTCCCCAAAGTTGTACCAAATACCTGAAGATTTTGCTGCAGTTCACAAATCACTGCATAAAAAGTCTGGGCTACAAATAACTATGTGAACGACCTAGTAATTTTAGTATGAATGGAATATGTTATATCGTTTTCATATGAAATATGACTTTTATCATGTGCATAGAATGAACTCTGGGTGACAAATAAGTGCTGGAAAACAGTATTCAGGTGGCTCACTTTTTTTTCTAAATTTGAAATATTTTTGGTTTTGTTCTGACTTAATATTCCTAGGATCGGAGAAGTGCTACCTACAGGAAAATACATTTTGTTCTAGAGTCATTTGCAGTTCTTATTTGTGATAAACCCTATTACTTTGATATTATTCCTAACTTTTGTGGATAAGTCTAGCATTCAAAATCAATGGAATTTATAACTCCTCTACCTGTGGCAGATTTTCAATGCTCCAGTCTGAGCCATCCCTATTGCATGAAGGCAGATGATATCCATCCGCTCAGATTGAAGTAGGTGGGACAGAACTTGGACTCGATTCTAGCTGACCAAAACTAGAGTACCCACACCAAAGAGGCACCACTAAGTTTGTTGATAGTAGCATCAGGTCTATATTAAGCTGAATGTATCATTTGTCTTGCTTAAGTGTCCTTGTAGAAGTCAACAGTTAAAAATTGGGCAACTCAGGGTTATTTTCTTTGAGTTTTTAGTCACTAAGCCTTCCATATATTGACTTATACAGTAACATTTTACATTATTTTGTGTCACCACCTTGTTATATTGTACCTGGGCACAAAAACACTGATCATTTTACTTGCAGCATTTTGTACTTCTGGACTACTGCTGTTGAAGTCATTAGCTGTTTAGGCTTTTTCATGTGCCTAGAATTCGGTTGGTGAACAGTATTGATAAATTCATGTTCTTTATATCTTAATTTGTAAATACCTGTCTTAGTTATAAGTATTCATCATAGATATGGCATTTTTACTAAAGTTTGTTTATCCTCTTTAATCAGCGGCATAAAATTTGAGGATTTTTAATTTTAACTTTTTTTGCAGATATTGTACAGATACATATTCTTATCGAGACGTATTATCACATTGTTTCCTGGCGTCAAACATGGCAAATATGAAATCGAAAGTACTTAAACAAAAAGATTCTGGTAAATGTCCAATGAGGACTGCTATGGATGTTGTGAAACGAGTATTATGGGATGAAATGATTCCTCAAGAATCTATAACTATTGGATATTTAGACAGATTTAAAGGCATAATAGAAAAACCTTTTGATGCCTTTTCTTGGGAACCTTTGGATAGTTTGGATTACTTTACCTTTGGTGTTCCTGAACACCGTATTCAGTATTTTAAATACAAAGATCTAGTTGTATGGGATAAACGTTTCAGACTAGATCGTGTTTTCGGTAGTAGTCGTTCAACGAAAACTATTCGAGATGTGATTGAAAAGTATGAGAAATACTGTAAAGTTTCTGAAGACATTCCCGACATTCTTCTTGATAATAAAAATGGTGGTGTTTCATTTCGATGGAGCTTAGAGTCTTTAGACGATAGTCGTCTTTCAGAAACTCAAACAGAAGAGTCTATGGATGAAACAGTATCAGAGAAATCTAAACAAAGACCGAATTTTTTCATTTGTCAACGAATAGAATCTCCTGTGTTTATTGAAAAGGCGAAAGAGATCCAGTCACATATTTGCAGCCGTCAGCTACTTTATAAAGATTGTTGTCTAGATTCAAAGCTTTTTCATCTTACTTTGTTAACAGTACGACTGGAAGATAGTTCTCAAGTAAGTACTTATTTTTCTTTAGTCAGTATTTTGACTGAGGATTCTAATTTTAGTTAATGTCACTATATGGCATAACTATAATAGCCATTTTTGTTGAGCTGTTGTTTTATATATTACTGCTACATTAGCTACCTTACTTTTTATGCTCAGTTCCGTGTCGTCGCAGTGAAATAGTTAAAGCCTATTGGTAAACACCCCTGATTGATGTGACTCTTGAAGGTGGAAAGGTGATCTATATTCAGTCTTTCCTCCCCTTATTATTGAATAAAGCATTGTCGAAAATCAATCCTAAAGTATTTAGTTGAATTGCTGGTCAGCATATTCAGAAAAGTGCTTTTTAATTTGTTTGTGGTGATTGAAGAATTTCTTTTTGAAGATATCAATCCATGTTAAATCAAAAGGAACAGTCCGCATTAATATTTCTGTGATATAGACATAAAATAAATGGGATGAATGTTTCTTGTAAGCAGAGCTTGACAGTTCCCCTGTGGTGAGATCAGGCCGTGAGAAAATATGTACAAGGCTGATTCAACAACCAATCACAGCAGACTTAACGTGGCAAAATATGATTCGCAGATAGAGAACTCTATTTTTCGAGGAATCCCGAAACAACCAATAAGAAGCCTGCGTTTGTCTGCTTAACTTCTGATAAACCACCAATCAGAAGACTGCGCTTGTCTACTTGCATAAGCTATAATAGTGTATGTGAAATATATATAAATACGTGTTGATTTTCGTAATAAAACGATCTGTTGCCTGGCCCTTGTCTTCTGCTGTTACACCCCTATGGCTCGCTGCACGCACTGTCAAAACCGTAAATTTCCAAGCGTATGGCTTCCTGATCAGTTTTGTTTTTTAACAGAAGACGCGAAAACTTTTGATCAGAGAAGTCAAATATCGTTTGTATGCTGATACATAGAAGTGGCTTTGCGCACACATAACAATGCATGTGTTTCAGGATCTGATGGTGGGTGATCATTCATTTTTGAAACCTGTGTAGTTTCATCTCATTCGTGTTATCCTATCTTTTCTTACGTATGGTTCTAGGGGCTAAGGTTTATTCGGTGTTAAACACCATGATAATCGATGGTGGAAACCTATTGGGAGACATTTCGTCAGGTGTCCATGGTGAAACTACAAATGAATATGCATTAAAATCTTTTGTAGTTCTTTCTACAGCTTTCGCTCATTCTCCAGTTTTTTCGGGGAACTGAGACTGTGATCCATATCTAAGAATTCACCCCAGTACTAGTCAAAAGGTGTTTTCTGTCCTTGGGACTTATGTTCTCTAATCATTCTTTTCGACAAACATAGAGGACTATCTGGAGATCAAGTTTGTTTCTAAGAGACGCTACTGCATTGTAGTGGTACAAATCAAATCTAATCACTTAGGTCATTTTCAGTTGCTCTTCTTGACACGTCAAGAACTTGAAGAACAAGAGTTTTACTGTTGTTGAAATAGATTATTCAACAAGTGAGTATGGTTATCACTCTAGCGTCAATCTCATGCACGTAATTAATAGACCGATGTTACTGTAGTGTGTGTATACAAGAGATCTTGAATATCCCTTTTATTTTTACTTCTAATTTTATTTTTCATAAATTACGGAATATACAAATTTTATCATAGGGAATAAAAAAACAGTTGCAACGAAGAAAATTTTCTTTTCGACGAAATCGTCAACTAGGTTGTACATTCGTGTACTTATAATAAATGGGTAGGAAAGTTTCAGAATAATTTCTGGTCAAGGGTCAGATTAGTAAAATTACAATTAGGAATTAAAATGCCATAATAAACTCGGTGACGGATAAAGCTCAAACAAAGTAGCATCATAATTACTGAGAAAATTGACATATTGTGCAATTAGGCGTTAGAAATGTAGAAATAACAAAAATAGATAGGATGTTTTGATAAAAAAAGCTAGTGGGATCATAACTAATGTGACGAATAATTAGTTATGCAGCTAGGGATTGTGTATGTAGAAATAATAAAATGACAAAATGGACAGGAAGTCCGGATATGAAAATATAGTAGTGTAAATAGGGATTAAGAAAAACTTAGAATAACATGAATAAACAGGAAGTTTGGATAAGAAAAGCAAATGGATAGTCACTATTAAAAGAATTACCTGTTTATGATGGCCATGGCTGGGACGAGGGTTGGACGTATGTCTTTCGGATACATAGCTTGGGTTTGAGCTTTTGAATAGCTAGTCCCTTGGCTATACCCAGATGTTTTAATTTGACTCCCTTTGATAGGTTTGTTCGAATCTTGTATGTTATTTTGAAGGATGTTTTAAGTTTTTCTTAATCTCTACTTACACTACTACATTTTCATATCCGGACTTCCTGTCCATTTTGTCATTTTATTATTTCTACATACACAATCCCTAGCTGCATAACTAATTATTCGTCACATTAGTTATGATCCCACTAGCTTTTTTTATCAAAACATCCTATCTATTTTTGTTATTTCTGCATTTCTAACGCCTAATTGCACAATATGTCAATTTTCTCAGTAATTATGATGCTACTTTGTTTGAGCTTTATCCGTCACCGAGTTTATTATGGCATTTTAATTCCTAATTGTAATTTTACTAATCTGACCCTTGACCAGAAATTATTCTGAAACTTTCCTACCCATTTATTATAAGTACACGAATGTACAACCTAGTTGACGATTTCGTCGAAAAGAAAATTTTCTTCGTTGCAACTGTCTTTTTATTTCATAAATTAGTAGTTTTTTGACTGAGTGCTACCTGATAATCATACATAAACATACGTAGATATATACACATGAATTATACCTACTGAGTACAAAAATTGGTTATTGTTTGACCACACAAATTCTGATCAATATAAAGAGCTCCGTTTTGGTTATATAGGGTTTCAAGACTTAGGATTATAAGCGGTGAGAACCTCAGCTGAGGGTGCATCAGTGTTGCAATTGGATTATCAATTTTGCATATATCTTTATTTAAAAACTAACCAAGTACGCCTTACTGTATTTTTCCTTCTCAGATATCAAAGTGTATGGATGCGCTTAAACAATCAGAGATGGAGCTTCATAGTTGCGTTCCAAAGGACCAACTAACAATAAAAGGCGTGAACAGTTTTCGTGGTCGAGTAATATACGCAGCTGTCGAATTAGATGCAAGTTTGGAATTGTTTGTTAGTCAATTAAACAAAATTCTTCAAATGAAAGGTTTCCAGACAGATGATCAAAGGAAATTTACACCCCATATTTCACTACTGAAGGTGTGTATGGTTCTAGTATGGTTTCTAGTAAAGACCCAAGTTGATCTTATTTTTTTCTACACACCAGTATTATTTGAGCAAAAGTCCTGATAATTTAAATGTATTCAACTTTAAATGACATTATGTTTTCCAATTTCTGTGAGCAAATATGCATAGACACTTACAGTACCGACATAAGTTTGTATGAAAACGAAGTTAACTTCACAGGTGATTGATTCAGTCACTGTATGTGTAAAAGTCTCGATCTTATGCTAAAAAAAGATGCAATTATTGACTGGTAACGTTTGTCTCAAGTCCTAATCCCAATTGTCTTCTAAACTAGCAATGTTCTGAAATATAAGCATAACGCACATGACTGCAGGTTATTAAACTTGTCAGAATAATATAAAAAACAGTGCACCCAACCACTTCACTCCTTATTATCAGATAGATAGAATAGCAAGACAAGCTTTCATTACTGTCAATTCTGTGTGGAGGTCAACAGCACTCAGCATCAAAAATAAGATCCGGATTTTCAACTCCAATGTGAAGTCATTCAGTGCTACTATACGGATCAGAGACTTGGCGCGTCATGAAGAGCACCTCCAACAAACTACAGATCCTCATCAACAGCTGCCTTCGCTCAATACCAAAGATCAGATGGCCAGAAAAGACCAGCAACAGGGATCTCTGGGAGCGAACCAACACAGCAGGAACCGATTGTGCAACAAATAAGCAGGAAGAAATGGAGATGGATTGGACATACTCTGAGGAAACCACCAAGTGACATCACTAGACAAGCTCTAGAGTGGAGCCCGAAAGGGAAGCGGCGAGTTGGTCGTCCCACGGTCGGGTGACTTGGAGGAGGTCATGTGAAGAGATGAAAGCATGTGGGCAGACATGGAGCCAGGTGGAAACTTTAGCAGAGAACCGAACGCAATGGAGACGTTTGGCTGAAGCCCTATGTTCCTCTAGGAATTAAAGGAAACAATAATATAATTGATTCTAAAAGAGTATTCAACGTTTCAGAAGTGAAGAATTCATTCCAAATGTTTATACTGTTTTTCAGAAGAGTGTATATTTTTCACCATCTTCTCTTGATTTAATCTTGTTAATTATCCGAAATGTTGGATTAGGTTGTTGTAAAATCGGATGCACAAAATACGAACCCCTGAAATAATATTAGAAAGTGGAAAATGTGAACACCATTGATCCTTTGAATCATGCACGCAGCCAGTCGCATTTCGAAGAGGTGATTTATAAAGTTCCCAACAGCATAGCATAAATGTTTGCAATAGGAACAAACTTCAAACCTTATCTACTATCTTATATATGTCGTCCAGATGAAAGTCAAACTACACCGTGTCAATCTTATGCCACGGTTCATTGATCATGGTGTACTGTTCGACTACCATAGGATTCATGTTATTCTTAGTTTGGCCTGAGACTACCTGACATATTTCTTGGTTATTTTGGTACATTAAGATGTGTTCATATTCTTGTACAACTAACTTCTGCTTAGCTCATGGTGCATATATTCCACATTATATTAATGGACGGACTGCTTTACTTATCTTAATTTATGTTTCACATTATAAATTTGTGTATTCCAAATTGTAGGTTACTCGATCAATTTTTAAAAAGACTGGAGAGAAAAAAGTTGAGCCTAATTTATACAATGAATTCGCAGACATGGAATTTGGAAAACAACCTATCGATTCAATTCATTTATGTGCCATCGGGAAACCTCACGATGTTAATGGCTTCTATCGTACTTTTGGAAGTATAGATTTCGGCAATCAGACTTTGAAGTCAGAATAATTTTTGAACTTTTACAGTTATCTTATTTTAATACCCTTGTAGCTTATATCTTTTAGATATAATTGTGATATTGAAGATGTCTATAATATTTCTATTTCTTTTTTGTATTTTCACGCAAATCTATTTGTAATAATACGTATACTCTGAACACAATAAATTACTTCTGTAAGACTTATTCTATTCGTTTACTAGTCATTGACTGATTTAGTTTCGTTGTCAAACAAACTTGATTAATATTTAATGGGCTACACGGAGAAATCGGTGATTTTGTTAGACCAAAAGAAACTCTTTAATCACAGTCGTCTCAGTCATCCTTATCAACCGTAATAATTGATGATAATTATTTCAAATCAGGTCCTGTGCCAGTAGATTTGAAATAAATATCTCGGAGTTATTAAAACACAATCTTAGTACATAATGTGGACACCAAGAGACATGCCACACGAAATCTCATAGTTTGTGCTAGGGTTGAAGTACTGACCGAACCGAAGCAGGTGGGGTTGTCTTAGGGGGCCAGCCCGCGAGGCTTTGAGTTGAATTCTGCTCCACAAGACAGTGCTAGGAACCAAATTCCTACAGTTGCCAGTGTCCGAAACAGCTTCACACGTCATTCAATCCAATTGGATTCTGCAGGCATTGTACACTATAGGTGTGGAATCAAGGTTTTCCAGCTCGACTAGGTAAACCTCCATGTTCACTAGGTGTCCACACGCACGCTTTCCCTTTTGTCAGGAACACCCACACAGCGTGGAGGTAGTGAATAGGAGTTACTTGGTTTATCCATATGAGAGTATTTTGAGAGGAGGACCGAAGTCTACCCACCTTCAAGCTGTACTATGTCATTTATACTTTTTACAATAACTTCGAGTTATAGACAGAAAATATAGGCAACATAATTCTATAAACGTAAAGTAGACAAATTATTCGGTAATGAAAGAAAGAATAACCATTTATATAATGATTAGAAAAGGGGGTTACAGTTCAGATTTTGCTTGGAAACAAGGATGGACTTGAGACAGAAGATAAGATAGAACAACAGAGCGAATTTATACATATGATGATGGAGAGTTCATGAGGACAAATAATTCGTCTACTTTTACGTTTTTGTTGCTTATACTTTCTATTTACAACCCGAGGTCAATTAACAAGACGTGAACAAGATGGAACACTAAAAAGACCCATTTACAGAAAGACGACGTGGGACGGACAATGTACTGACTTTCACACTTGGTTGCCCCTATGTAAAAAAACGAAACCTGATCCTCTCGTTAAGGCACAGAATTCACAGTCCTGATACTATAGAAGAGGAGTTAAACACCCTGAAGAGAATCTTTCTAGAAGATGGCTACCCAGAACGTTTTATCACAAAATCTATGAAACCAAAACCGCCCACACTCTTTGCTTCCAAAAAACTTCTCTACCTGATTCTACAACTCAGTGGAGACTCATCAGCACGAATAATGAGAAAGCACTGATTGTCCCTGCCCACTGAAGAAAACCTTCTTCGCGGCTGAACTCCAACTAACCTTCTCTACGAAGCCAATGATTCGCATGAACGTGAAGGATACGCTACCACCGTTGGCCACATGAATGTGCATATGCCAATTCACCTGCTCGTGTGGAGCTAGGTATGTCGGTCGTACCCTGCGTTCGCTATCCAAACATATCATTGAACACTTACCCTGATGGTTTTATAACGGAGAAGAAAGATCCCCCCCCTCCGAAGCTCTATTCTGCAACACCTTATCGAACCGCAGCACCAAGCATACACACACAGTAACTTCAAAGTCATCTACAGAATACGTGGGAATCTTTCTAAAAGAGTACGAATCAAACCGCAGAAACAATAGCAATTCACATATTAAAACCTGAACTCTGCATACAAAAGAAGTTTGTTCAGTCATTAAATCTACAGTGAACTTGACCTATCTTAACACCAATTACGTAATTTTTGTTTCGTCTTTTTCTTGCTTATTTGTTTCTTAACTGTATAATAATTTCCCCACACCTCTTATTACATCTCTACGCCGTTTTACTACTATTGTTAACTTGACTTTTGTTCAATTTTAGTTGAGCGTTACTCAACTCCATCAATTGGACTACGTTACTCAACTTGCTCAGTTTATCTTACTTTCGTTTCTGACCAATTAACGAAATTTGTTATCTAAAACTTACAATTCTAATACTTTTTTATTTTAGTCTCTACTCGACTAATGCTTTCTACATTACGTAATTTGTTGACTACAATTTGCAATTCTAATGACAAATATTTGAAATATTTACTTTGTTACTACAATCGCTATTGTACATCTTGAGAATGATATCGCCGAAAAGAGTAACTTTTCGATGAACGTCTTTTCTTTTAAAAAGTATGTTAAGAGATTTTGTAACTTACAATTGTTTTCGTTGAAAATGTACGCAGTTAGAGAAAATCCAAGAAAATAAAACGAGCTTGTATCATCCTCCGAATGTGTGCGTTCTTTGTTTTATTCAAACTAATAAAGTGAATCGGTTGTATGAAATCGATTTCCACTAAACATGGTCTTAAAATCAGACTAACTTTTCAATATGATGTGTTGTTGACGCAGTTATCATAGCTTTTACCACCCACTACTATTGAATTAGTCAAAAAATCAGTGAAATTCATTAACTACGTTCATAATTATGCACTAGACAATGACATGAATGCACCTCTTCTAATTTATAGCTAACTAATCAACTAAAGACAAAAGCTACCTGCTAAATTTGGTATGTTTATTCACATGATAAGAGAAATGCTTGTTTTCCTTTTCTTAACCACTATAACAAGACAAAACTCTTCAATGCCAATTTCACATTTACAATCTATCAGAAAACTGCATAGACTAGTGTGATGTGAATGATTGTAAATATGTTAATAAATCTAAAAGTGACTGATAAATGCATGTGACTACACCTTTTATTGTATATTTCATCATTATGCTCTGGATTAATAACAGAACTAGTCATGTGGTGAATCCTACTGATAAGACTTATCAGTAGTATATAAAGAGACGTTCATTGTCATGAAAAACAACATCAAACAGCAAGGACATAGTTCATACATCAGAGAAACAAAAAGATACAGCACTGTGGGGATACATGGGAGACGTGAAAGAAACACAATACGAAGATTTGTGCAAACTGTGCATTGAAGGTAAGGTGTACATAATTTGGCTATACAGAGAGACCAATTTCCAAACAAGACTTCGGTATACCCATATGTCAGGTACTATAGTTGCTACCATAGTAGAAGTTTGTAGACTGAGGATAGGGCAAGTCAAAGTTAATGGACATCTTACATTTACTCTTCATTCCCGTCTCAGGAACTAACTATCACACCAGCGTACATACTAATTATTAATCTTCATTTATAATTCCTGCTTTATGATGACTCTTTTGTTTAGGATGTTTTTGATGAGTATGACAACCAACCAACTCATATTTCTTGGCCCCACGACGTTATCTAGCCGCAACGTTTTGCAACTATTTGTAGGTATCTTATCCCACAAAATAGCTTCTTTCTGATGATATTAGATGGTTGAAGGCAATCACAGGAAGCCTTGAACTTAGGTTTTGTGCTAGTTAGCACTCGTCAGCATGGCGTATCTGCAATATCATAATGTAGAACAGATATTTCGCGATTTATGTTGGTTGATATGAATACAATAAATACCCATATCGATGAAAATCCATTCAAATGTCAGGTTTCAAAAGAATGACTTAAATGTATGCTAGGCTGTAACTGAGACACCTCTTCAGGGTACACATATACTATCATATAATCTGGAGTACATCTTTTTAGGAAAGCCAAAACTAAATAGTATATGAAGATGCTAGTGATGAATAATTTCTACTGGGGTACTAGACATTTCGATACTTCAGTAGAAGGCAACAAAGTATACTGCCGAGTGGTTGGAACCACTACAACATATATCCCGCCTATCAGTGCTTTCACCGTAAATCATTACCATCAATGAATACCTAATTGATACAATATGAATTCCAAAGTGACAATCCCTTGTCAGCCAATCTATTATTTCACTCTTTAGTCTTTCGATGAAACAATTCAGATAAATTAGGCCTTTTTTATTGTTTTATCAAAATGCATAATGGTAACACAAATCGCTTACTGATGAAGAGTCCCAAACTAGAACGAAACAGCTGTCCAGTACTCCCAGGTTTTCCAGTGGTACTCTAACTGATGTCAGCTCATGGTAAAATCCTCCATACAATCAAATCCTTTGACTTTATTATTCTATTCATGCTGTTATATATACTATTTCGTCGAATTCATCTCACAGAGTTTTACACGTAGCAAAATAATCTTAATGAGCAGCGCAATTCACCTAGTACATACTAAAAATCTAAGCACAAGCAGCAAACGCGTTAAAACAAAAAATACTTTAGACAAAATAGCTTTATTCATAAAATTTCAATAGACGTTTGATTCGTTCAAAGACTAATTTACAAGATTTCCAAACTTCTGATTCTTCTCTCCAAATACCTTTTTTCTTATTCATTGCTTTTACAACTGCTCCAACATATTTGTTTCGATAGTTGTCTGGCAAGTTGCTGGAATCTTCAAGATTGACCATTCCATTGGCTAACAAATAGTATGATATATCTTTTCTGAAAAAGTACCACTTGAACAAAGTGTGAATAAAAAAACAACAATATGGGTTACCTTTTTGAAAACAATAGCCAAAAGTTTTGCTTCTGCATCAATCGGCATTACAGGGATGAAAGTAATCCGGTCACCGACATGAATATTATCTTTTATCCATTGTCTACTTAATTCAGAATGTTCTACTGGGATACAAAGTTTAATTGTATCACCTTTTTATACGAAAATGATGATTATTCTCCTTTCAAAGCAACTTACCAAGTGAACTGCGGAAGGGTGTTCTAATCTTAGGTAAATGAAATATCTCCAATTCACTTGTGTCATTCACATGGTATATTAATCCTTTCAAACGTATTTGACGATTGTATACACCAGATGGTATGGAGTGAATAGAGTTAAACTTAGTAAACTTGAACAATAAAATTCAGAATCTATTTTTATTTACAAGATAAAAATGCCTTGAAAGAAGACATACTCCGGTTACAAAAAATACTGTAGGTAATAACTAAAAAGTCATTTAATTTTAACATGGGATAAATTTTACCTTTATAACTCTTAAATTATCATCTATATATTTTTGAAGTTTATCCATAGCATTATTGACATTGTGGAGTTCAACAAATGTTCAGTGATGCAGTCTTATCTAGAAAAAAGAATAAATGTTAGCAAGAAGAGTGAATATTCTTGACAGAGAAAAAACCCCACTAAGACGAGAAAATATTAGGACTTAAACACTGTGTCATTGATATAAGAACAAAACTTGTGCACTGTGGTAGAGTATAATTCCATTATGGGCAAATTTTTGTTTTGATAAAGTCTCACAGTGTTATACAGTAATGTTTACTGATGACGTTTCGAGCACAATTTATGACACTTTCACAGTGTTAAAAACAGAACATATCTCTAGCTTCTTGACACACATAAACCCACTAGTGGAGGGAATAAAATTCACATTTGAATCGGAAAATGAACAAGGAGAATTAGCTATGTTAGATTGTAAAATAAAACGAATAGAAGAAGGTAAACTACACACTAGTGTGTACAGAAAACCAACTCATTCTAATAGATACTTAGACTTTAATTCATCTCATCCGTTGACTGTCAAGGCAGGCTTAGTTAAGTGTTTAACAAACTGAGCAGTAGCAATAAGTAGCACAAGAAAAGACCCAAATGATGAACTAAAACAGATAGAAGAGGCTTTGGTGTTAAATCCTTTAAAATTCATTAGGAAGATCAAAAAAGGCCAAACGAAAAATAAAAATAATTGTGAAACTATTAATGATAACATAAATAAGAGAGAATATAAGTCATCTACAGTTATGCCATATAAAGAGGGGACATCTGAAACCCTGCGTAGGATTCTAAATAAAATAGGAATTAGAGTGGCATTTAAACCTACAAACTCACTCAGACAGGACAAGCTGTGTAGGTTAAAGGACCCAATTAGATAAAATAATATAATTTACAAAATACCATGCAATGACTGTGTGGATGAGGTCAACTACATAGGTCAAACTAGTAGGTCAGGGGTAGTCAGATTGTCAGAACATAAGAATTTAGCTAAGGTAAGAATGGTCGACCCTGAAAAGATAAGTAGTTTAGAAAAAAGCTCAGCAATTGCAATGCATGCATCAACACACGACCACACAATAGGGTGGGAGAAGGTTAAAATCCTAAAAAGTAATCTACTTAGGTGAAGAGCAAGAGAGGTTGATTACTGAATCCTTGTTCATCGAGTCTACACCAAACACATGCAATAGGAATGACTCATCACTCATACCTGAAATATGGAAAATACTACTGCCAATCAAATCAAGTGAAAAATAATGGAACTATATAAATGAAGTTAGGCAGTCGTGTGAGTACCTTGATATGATTATGAGCAATAAATTGTGCTCGAAACGTCATCAGTAAACATTACTGTATAACACTGTGAGACTTTATCAAAACAAAAATTTACCCATAATGGAATTAAACACTGTGAAGTGATTTAGTATATGTATTCAATATAGTCTATAGTAAGGATACAAGGTTACTTACTGTGTGGTGTAGAGCATAATTCATTAATCAATTATATACCGAAATAATAAAAACCCTAATGAACGTCTTTTTATAATTTTTCAGTTTCTTTTTTCTACATTTTTTTTTTTACTGCAAACAGGATTTTACTAAATATTTGCGATTGATGTCAAATTATTCATTCTCATTGGCTACTTACTGTGATTTGATAATCCAATCAGCTACAGCCAGTAAGAAGCCTACTTTCATCAAACTCGACTACAAGGGCAACGACATTATGAGAATGGTAAATAAAAGATTAAGCGCAGCCCTGTCTAAGACGTATCCTGCAGCATTATTAGTCTCTCTACCTAGAAACAACCTCCTCACTGGTGCAGTCAAAGATTCACAAGTACACTTCACATGTTACCTCCAACTGTGTATACAAATTTATATGTATCTGCCGGAGCAGTTACACTGGAATAACAGAGAGGAAGGCCCACGTCAAATTCTGCGAACATGTACCAAGGAGCCTGCGATTAAAGGGACCGAATTGTTTACGCTCTTCAATCGCCAAACACCTGATTGACACAGGAGATCGAGTAGATGTGTTGGAATCATCCAAAATAACTAACAGACGAAGTACCTCAAGTCTTCTCAGGTTTGCTGAAGCCGTAGTAATAAAACGATTGAAGCCTGACTTATGTGTCCAAAAAGAATCCGTTGTTGGACTTCAATTACCCTGGTGACTCAATTCTTAGTAACTCTTTGTTGTCTAATTTTGTTGACTTATCTTTTCACTCCCCCCCTTTATTTCTCGCTTGACTCTCTTAAGAGATAATTTTTCTTGATCTTCTGAGTCCTGCTCACTGTAATGCATTACCAACTTCGCATCTGACCTCATGTGCACCGAAACTTTGATCTTCCCTTATATAATTACGTAAGTGTCACTAATTTTCTTGCGTTACCACCCCAACAACACAACTGTTAATTAATTTTTTTTCAAGAAACTTCTCTCTACCAAGATATATATATATATGCCGCAACACTAGACACCTTGTGAATCGCAACGCCTTATTTTACTATGACACTGACAATATGCTTGCAAATGGACAAAAGTTTGTTAACATTTTTAATTTTATTAGAGAATTCAGGGTGTACGCAGTTGATGGGGACCGGCGGAATAAAATGGATCCAGATTATCCTGCAAAGAGTTTTATTTTGCTGAAGTTTCTGTAGCAATTTTGTTTACAGATTATTCTGCGCCAATGTTTCTTTGTTTCAAATCCAATCACTGGTCTTTTTATTTGAAAGTACTGCGGACACGAAAGCCACCTGTTGTGCAACGAGTATCGCCAAATCAGTAGCCTAGTGGATAATGCTTTGACGTTTGAAACGATGGGTGCTGCGTTCAACTCTCAATGGGAATACCATCACTTAGTGGAGAGTGCAAGTATATCCAGATGGCGAATGCCTTATTGGACGAAATGCGCATTCTCGATTACACTGCTAGAGTCTACGTTCAGCCAAATAACATAATCCAAGTGTCTATACTAGAAGCTAACATGTCGACAGAAACTGAAATTTTCAGTCTAATCAATCTATGGGAAAGATATTTGAGTTAAACGCGGTTTTTTGTAGTTTAGTGATCACATGAGGATGTGAAAACATGTAATGTAGTGGGCTTCTTACTTTCGTCATTCTGACTGACCCTAGTCGACTACTCTGATGAATGCACTTCAGATCACAATTACTACATGATATTTGAGAAATAAAGTTATGTTACCCAAATGGTACATCTTTTACTTTTATCTTACACTGTTTTGGCAATATTTTTTTCCTGAGTGTAGAATTACTTATATTATTTTTTGCCATGGAAACATTTATAATGGTTTGGTTGCTTCTGTTAACATACTGATAGACTAGAAGTAAACGGTATGTTGTTAGCTTATTCAAAAGAACATGAGTGAACTAGTACCTGGATACATTTATCCTAATATACTTGAATAGCTTAGTAGCATGCCGTTTACTATGAGTCTGTTGATACTTTCACCAATGATTCTGAATGTCACTAAGGGACACATCAATATCAACGCGAAGTTCTTTTCAACTCCAGTAGGTAAAGTGAAATAACGAGCCTCATCCAACACCATAGTTACCACGCATTATAAGATCCAACTACGATTAGTGAAAAAAGGTTCACTTGAAGATGAGAAAACCATTTCTAAAAGATGACAAGTTTAATGCCATTCTCGAGGTTGACTATGTAGAATTATATTCGAACAGACAGTCTAGTATATGAAAACTTTTCAAAGGAATTGCTAGTAGTAAGCAGATGAATAGTATTCCTTATTCACTTGATGTGTGTACACTAAACGAGTCTTTCATACATTCACCCACAAATGCCAAGCTTTCTAGTGTCACAAGTGTTAGTGAAAGCTGCTTCCCTGGCTTCAATACAAATGACGTCCTAAAATGTCTCCAGTAGCTGAACCCTTCTTTTAGCCTAAAACCAGATGGTTTGCCTAGTGTTATCTTGAACCTTCACTTAAAGCCTTCAACGACCCCAAACAATTCGCCTACAAACATAGTAGAAGTACTTTAGATACAGCTGCAGTCTTGCATTATAACATTGTCTCCAGTTTAGACAAAGGGGCTAAATTTGTCCGCTGCACCTTCCTAGATTACACATCTACTTTCGACTCAATACCTAGAGACATTTTGTTAAACAAGATTTCTGAAACTCAAATTGAGTGTTGGGTTGTTAGACGGCTGCATTCGTATCTCTCAGGAAGAAAGCAGTACACTGTATGTCACGGGAAGTCGTCCACTTCATCGCTTACTGAGGCTGGCGTCCCTCAAGAAGCTGTTCTTACTCCTTTTCTGTTTTCTTTCTTCTTGCATCACTCTGATGAAGTGAACTTTGTTAAGTATGCGGACGATCTAACTATTTCTATGTCTGTTAACTCCCAGCTAGACAGTACTAAGATGAACGGCATTTTATCAGGAGTCAGCAAATGATCTTCGTCTAATGGTCTCAGACTAAATCCTTCCAAACGTCAGACTGTTAATTTCAGTTTCCGATGTAGAAAAAGTTAAATCAAGCTGTTAATTCCTATGGCCGCTGCGAAATTGATGATAGTGATATGAAAATCAAGTCAGACGTTAAGTATCTTGGATTAATTCTTTTTTCTGACCTATCCTGGTCTTCCCATGTCTTAGCGGTTTCTAAAAGAATATTTCTTCAGACTATTAACATTAAGAAGTTAAGGCACTCAAGCACAACTCAACCCTTTTCTCTTACAGTCTGTCAACTCGTGCATCTCACCTATTCTTCTTTATTGTCCACCGTTATTCTTTCCCGGATTGCTTAAAAAAACTATGCCATACTTTGTAGAACTCTGAAGACTGTCAGTAGGGCGAGTGGTATCCCACTGGGCCATATCATTGACATCCTCATTGATAGGCAAAAATTTGCTAAAGGAATTTTTCAGACTGTGAGCATCCACTTTACCCTCAGCTTTCACCTTGTGTCTCCTCAGGTAAAACAAGAAGTCATTTCAAAAGACTTTATGCACGTACGGCTAAGTATAA